GACGGGTTGCGTCGCACGTGACGTACGTCGTAGACGCAAAAACCCCCTTGGCTCGAGAGCTTTTGCTTTTTGGGCGCCCGGGCGCCCTTTGGGCTCCTCCAGCCGTGTCCGCGAAGGGCCCTCGCATTCGCCCCCCGCCCGAGGTCACCGCGCGGCGGTTGGGCAAGGCTGGCGGGGATTTCAAAACACTTGGTGTGCATGGATTTGCCTCACAGCACCTTTGCGAGGGATGTTTTCTCTTTTGAACCTCTCAGCAGCAGATAAAAAGATGCCAAGTTACACAACGAGATGTGGGTCAGGCAGCGTGCGTTTCTTCCTGCCTCTCGCTCCACACTTTTTCAGCTAGGCCCTAAATACTTTTCCTAGCCGAGTGGCTGAGGTTTGGTTTTCTGCACGTATTAAAGACCACTAGGTCCATCACAATGCCGCTAAAACGTGCCACTATTTAATGTTGGCAATATATTCCCAACTAGCAATTTAAAATGTTGTAGATAAGTTACGTGATGTTTTCCGTTTAAATTAAAAAGGATCAGGTTAAACTCAAGGGAAGCTGATAGCTGCATTTTCATTTTAGTTCATTCGATTTCCTTTTTATGACCAATTTTATCCTAATGATCAAAATGTTGATTAGAGACCCCTAGGGCAGCATGTTGCACGCAGGACCGGGCTGGGAAGGGCCTCCGGCATTCCCACCACCAGGGTTTCAGCTGCCAGGCAGGGGCATGAGCCGGCTGAGGCACGTTAACACCACAGCTAGGGCTTTCTTCCTCCCTCTGCTGAGAAAATTTGGACTTCTCAACTGGCCTGAACTCTACCGATGTGGAGGCACAGATCTGAAACTGCCTGATTTTGGCGTCTGTGGCAGATCCTGGTGGGATCTTGGACTGACGGCACAGACTTTGTCACTTCAAGATACGTACGAAGAGGTTCTTCCAGTGGATGGTCTCTGGAGAGGAGCCTAGGAAGCCCGCTGCTGGGGAGTTTCCTGAGAGTGGATGGAGCTGTGCCTCCACGAAAGCCGGAGACACGAAGCAGATGTGCTGTCCCTTTGCAGGGTTGCCTGCCATGACACTGTGCTGCTCCCCATCCTCCTCCAAGGAGGAGGGGGACAGAAGTGTCGTGGGACGGTCAAACTACCAAGGGTTCCCTGGCGTACGCGTGCCTAGGGAAACTCCTCTAAATGGTTGTGGCTACACCCCAAAAAGGTGTTTAAAACCAAAAAAGAACATGAAATATGAATCCACGAAAAGAGAAACCTATAAGGATCCAAGTTTTCTGGTTGCCCTAGGTTTGTGGGGCTGGAGGACAGCGATGAACAGCACCCCTGCTTGCCTCACTGAAGCCTGGCTGGATTTCCTCTAATGCTGCAGATTCACTGACCATCTCTGGTCACAGAGGAGATATAGGTATTTGTATTTCCCAATGCTTCTGCTCTTCAAGGAGCACAGTTTTGCTGAAGCCTTTTTTTGCCCTGCTCCATACTGCACACACCAGCTGTGATGTTAAAGAGGGACACGGGTCACACTATGAAGCCCACAGGCTGGGCCTGCTTGCAAAAGGTAAGGTCAGGCCTGGACCATTTTACAGAGCTGTTTGGGCTGAACTTTGGCCACAGCTGTTTCCGAAAAATCACAGGGTAAAATTCAAGGAAAGTGATAAAATGGATCCATTTCTTCCTCTCCTGGTGGCGCAGGAGACTCATGGGGGCCTGCTGCCTGCCCTGCTCCAAGTGAGGAGCAGCTGTGACGGGCATCGCCGGCTCTTGAGCTGGCTCCCAGGACTCCTCACACCCCACCGACCTGTTGCGTCCACCTCAGACCTTGGTCGGGACAGTAAAGGGCATGCTGGGCAGTTAAACACTGAAGTGCCTTTCCACACTATGGAGCTTTTCCAGCCCTGATATAAAACCAACGACTTTTGGGTTCGTGCTGAAGCGCGGCCTGGTGCTCGGCGCTCTCGATGCCCGCCCTGTGCCGAGGCTGCCAGGCGGCACGGCGGGTCTGCGCTCCCGGCCGGGGGGTTGAGGTGCTTTCATGAAAAGATGTTTTGAACCTTCACAGGAAGGGGCTGCCAGCGCTGCCCCGAGGAAGGAGCAGGGCCGTCGCTGCCGCCCTTCTGTCCCAGCCGGCCGACG